TAATTAAGCTGACAGGTGCATGATTACTCAATAATGTATGTAATATGTTACTGCTGTAGGATTGTTTTATACAAATAAATGGTTTTTGTATAGAACGAAAATAAAATGAAGTAATAAATAGATACTTAATTAAAACTTACTTATTACAGACAAAATAAAGTACAATTATTAGTTGTAATTTCTACTAAAGTAGTATCACCTGATAAGGGTGTGCATGTTAGTAAAATGTAGTATTGTCAAACTTAGGTATATTTGAGACTGTTAATAGTCTAACAGTCAAAAACTTTTTATCATTTCCTTGGTGTCGAGAATGCAGGTTTGACTTTATAACGGGTTGCCGGGGCTCCGGCTCGAAGTGCATGAGTTGGAACGGGGTGGTTTTTAATCAGTAAGAGTCTGACTCTCCCTCCCGCTTCACCTGGGCACCAAGTCGTTGGATGATTTCCCCACTCAAAAAAACAAGTTTGACTTTATAGGTATTGAAAACCCATTGTCCAGCAGTCAAGGTCTCCTTAGCAGAAAATTAACTACAATAAGTGCCTGTAATTCCTATAATTACATTTGTTAACACTCTTTCAATTAACATTGACTCCCAATTTAGACAGAGTTCAATAACTATAGTCTATACGACAACAACGATTAAATAATTAACTTACAATTCATTGTTCCTGCACAAAATAAAATGGCGGAAAGATCCTCGACCTTATACCAAGGCATTACATGTCACGCTCGCTAGGAAATTATATTTATTCTTGGAAACAACAGATTTATAATTACTAAAACTGTTTAATTGATTAGACAATGTATGCAACCGTTACTAACAATTCATTTCCGCACCGGAAAGGTTTTTTTTATTTTATTTTTTTAAGGGGGAAAATCATCGAATGACTTGTCCCGCCTGCGTGAGACGGGAAGGAGTGTCAGACTCTTACTGACTAAAAACCACCTCGTTCCTACTCCTGCACGTCGAGCCGGAGCCCCGGTTACCCGTTAGGTTCTCCGCGGCAGGAAAGGTGTATAGGGTAAAAAAGTCTACTGAAACTACATTATATGCAGATGGCATATACATAATCGTCGTGTACATAATGTCGTGGTGACCCGGAGTTTTAAGACGCCCGCTTCTCATGCATGAGGGTGCGGGTTCGAAACCTGCCAACGGCAAGTACCAATGTGATTTTTTCCGAGTTATATGTACTTTCTAAGATTATCTAGATACCACTGACAAACGGTGAAGGAAAACATCGTGAGGAAACTTGGGCTTATAATTTCTAATTATAAGTTTGTAATCGCCAACCCGCATTGAGCAAGCGTGGTGATTATTGCTCAAACCTTCTCCGTGTGAGAAGAGGCTTTGCTCAGCAGTGGGCATTTATAGGCTGTTGATGATGATGACTGAAGTATGCGAGCGCTTCGTAAAAACACAATGTTTTTATTTTATTTATTCTACTGATATTCATCTTCAAAATATCATCGTATAGTTGTTTTTATAGTCATAAAGTACTAAAAGAATCACTTAAACCATCCTTACTTTCTTCCTACTTCCGACTTAAGTTTTAGCCGCAAATAGAAAAAATAGGTCAGACTACTGAACGATATAAACTTTATGACTGCACGGTTGGCGCGGCGGCTGGGGAACCGGCTGCCGCGCAACGTGTAGCGGGTTTAATTCATTCATAATTTAACGTAGAAGGAAAAACTACAAACGTGTTTACTAAGCAGGTAATTTACTCAATAAGATAATTACTATGTAGGTACCTAACTGGTATAAAATATCACCTTGTGAGTAGTCTACGAAATCTCTATCAATATCCTAATGTATTGGAATGTTTGATATAAAGATATCAGAGTAAGTCTCCTTGATACTGTTTCTAATTAGAACAGATAGTCAATGGAGTTACTCAATACCGACCAATTAGATAAGATAATTATAAGACTATGAATTAATCAAATTTTCTGATACGATCGAAAACAAATAACATTGATTGGTGCAAACGCTAGCCACTTCAGCTATTGGCAATAAAGAGCTTTGTGAAGACGATGGTTCAGGATAAGGAGAACAATCCAACGTACAGGGAAGTAAAATTCTAGGCATATAAGTCCGATTTCACCAGTACTTCCATTCATAGACGTACAGTGAATGCAAAACCTCAGACATCTACCTAATTCTTCAGAAAATAACGAAGAGCTAGCTGATCAAAACGGTTCGCCCATCAACCGGGGCGAGCACACAAATGAACCGCAGTACTACAAACGCTAATGATATTCAAACAAATCGCGCTCTCGACCTTGTGGGACAAACCAACAAACCCGTCCGGCAGCGTATCATCGGATCGGCACAAACGCGGTCCCGTTACCAACAATCTCATTCGGTATAACGGGTGCTGCCGCCCGATTGGCTGGCACTGGACATGCGCACTGCACGCTAGAGTAAACATTTCGTTGTTGACTGCAATCGGCAAAGGTTGTCAATGTATGACTGTATGACTGTATGACCGCACATGAATCGGATGGGCCGTGAATGAAAGGCAATTGTTATTGTGAATGGATTCTAATCTGCATTATTGTGGTTGTCGAATTTTCTGACAATTGCTGCGGTGCTTATTTAATGCCAAACAGCATACTACGCGTTGAGCACGCCTATTTACAAGAAATGTATTAAATATATATGCTATGAAGAACATGCACACTTATTTCGGATGAACAGTTTTGAAGAAACCACAATCTGAACGGAACAACAAATTACTGCTAATTCTCCAAAAAGAGTAAATGTTAAAGCATGTCTTATATGATTACCAAACTGTTTGTAGAATAAAAAAAGCCGCAATCTACCTAATGCTACATTTTACGCGTTAGTCGACCCGTAAAGGAATATAAACTTACATAATAAATCTAAAGAACTTATTGAATGCAGTTTAATAGGGTTGTACCCTCGGTGTGTACCTGCACTATGTCAGTAACTGTAAGCCAAGAAGCCTGTACAGCCTGCCGAGGCTGCGCTATCAACACGAGCCGCGCACCGAGCTATCGTTTATGTATGCTGTGCAGCTAATCTATACAACATTTCCTGTTTAGTTTGCCGCACTGACCTACCTATTAACTATCCATTTTTCCATGTGAATGTTGATTAGATATTCCGTAGAATTTACTTTTACTCGCGCCATAAAATACTAAATTAACTGCTGAAAATCAGTTAGAGTGTTCAGTGTTATGTAATTCACGTCAACCAAAATTTAAGACTTATGTTCATAGTGTGTTTCCAGTAATGCTATTTTACGGTTGTAATCGCAACATTTTTTATAAAACGCACACAATTACAGCGAACAAGGAAAAAGGGCGAATGAACACGTAAAATGTACAAAACGAACAACACTTCTCGGCCGAGTTCTTGGAACTTTAAATAAGTAAGGAACTTCTTTGTCTTTCAGTCAGTGTCTGTCAGTCAATACTGTCAGTTAATGTATTCGCATCTTAACACTTCTCGATGTCTTTTAGTACTTATCTCAAGCCATCTTTAGCAGCGGCAGGTTTCTCTTAGTGATCCTAAGTGCAACGTCCTCTTGATACAACATCATTTGTTCCATCATCCGTCATAAAGATCATAATACTGATACATACTGCCTCGTCTACTGATGCACTTGTGTTCATTACGTCAATTTAGACGTTGTGAACGATTACATCATTGTTAATTTTATAAGAATTAATCTTTGTTAAGAAATTGTTTAACGCTTACAAAGTAAAGAACGACTTGAAAATGAGATTGTGAAGCTTCTTAAAATGGATCTAGTTTTCATGCATAATAAACATAAAAGTAAAAGTAAGTTATGAGAGTAAAAGGCAATTTTGCGAGTTGTTCCATCAAATGTTGAAGAGATACTCGTCGAGCCATCGAGTCGGTGGGTACGCGGTGATTAATAACCTTCACGTTGATTTGCAACTGCGAGGTGCGGCAGAACTTAAACTTGAGAAAGGAAGGTTACGTAGAGCTTTAGCAAGTTGAGAAATTGCGATGATAGCATTGGTTTCGAAGCGTCCGGTTTTCTCAACAAAACCAGTTGTTAATATGGAATGCGGGCCCAACGTTGACGTACGAAAGTTCCGATACAAAACACCGGCTCCGTGTGTTATGTCGATTGCTTTCGTAGAGCCAATTAATCGATTCTATCTGAGTGCGCTCAGGTTGTAGATTTCACAACAGATTTATTGGGTAATGTCGATTTACGAGTATCGTGTCGCGGCTCGCGGGCGCGGGACGCTGGAGACGTTTAACGATAGTATGAATATGTATATATTGTCTGGACCAGTCTGGACAGAGTGGTCAGGGTGTCGCAGGTGTAGATGATGGCGAGCGTGTAATTGTCAACGGTTAGATGCTAACTGTGGATGCGATATAATACCCCCGTTACTCGAGCGTCCGTCGTCCGTGTGCGCAAACATTCTGCTGCAGTAGAAAGTATTGTTTGCACTATTCCGGTTGGTTCATTTGCTCACAGATTTAGAATGATAGACTTCTATTATGACATTCATGAATTGTTATCCAAACGATTATAAATTCATATAGTTTCTTTATAATAACCACGAAATTGCAATTTTTGGTATCAACGTAAACTTTTAACTTGCTTAATTAAATACCATACGTATTTAGTCATACTTAAAAAATAAAGAACTCCAAAAAATCCACTAGCTATTATCCAAATAAGTACTTCGCCTAACTCCCTTAACTACATAAATACTACATAATCTAATAATGAGGCACTGATGTTTTACTTCGCCTAAGAATGAATGAAATGCAACATCAATTTAGTTTGATCAACACTAATATTATTATTGTCACTGCCGCAGTTGGCCCCTTGGCAACTGGTACTTAGTTGGCAGTGGCCACTTGATTGGCGTTACTTCACAGAAGTTTTGGCGCTCACGACTCACGACTTTATTAGTTCATTGCCCACCATAGCTAGAGACCAACTTACAGGTCATTATTACAACATTGATTTGTAAATATGTTAGTTTCGACATCTTACTCTATGTGTTCTGCTGTTAACATCTGCAATATCAGATGATATATTATGTGTTCATAACTTATCATTGCGATAGTTTTTCCTAAGAGATAAATTGATTACTAAGCATGTACATTTAACTTTGAGTAATAGACACCACCAGCTGACTCAACCTGTCTTAAAAACTCAAAAATAGATTGTCGATTGTATTACAAAACAATAAGGTTCATTCGCTGTTGTTTATAAATGACCCAAGAGTACAGACAGATCCAACAACTGTTAAGTGCAAAAAATGTAAAGACTCAGAATGTTCATTACTTCATTCCGATCTCCAGCGAGCCACATCCTTGATTATAAACTCTTAGATCTTTTATTGCTTTACTCAGTAAATCAGTAGCCGAGGAAATGTGTTGTATTTCCTGAATGAACCTCCCACTGCATTTCATTCACCACGCTACAATTTAGGTATACCTTCGTTCGTTAGTCGCTGACCTTATTTCTTTAAGTGCCGTAATGCAGTAACTCGTATTTATAGATTTAGAATTATTGTACCACATTTATAAAGTACATTATATAGGCAGTTTGTATTGAACTAGGAAGATAAACATTTTTGAAGCGATTATGAGATTTGCGTCTGCCTCTAACGAAGCCAGTTACAATATTTAGTTATCCGCTAGGTTATTGCAGATTTTGAACAGTAAGAGGTGCATTGGTTGCTGTCGGTGTTGTTCTGATTTTATATGAAAATAACATTATTTCTGGCTATAATAGTGAAGTTTACGGTTGGGCTCGCAGCGCAAGTAGCAACACCGATGCGAGCGCCAACACTAGCCTGCGCGACATCGCCGCGACCGCGCACGCTACTCATGAGGAAGAACCCCTCTGTGGTTCGAAACTAGTAGAGCTTTTCTTAGTATATTCTCCTGAGTAACCCGCGATTTTAGTTAAGTTTACGGTCGTCCGGACTAGTGCGTGGAGGTTGCATATGAAAACAAAGAGACGGACTGAGAAAAAGTAAGGTGAATGGATTAGTTACAGAATGAACGGTTATTGATACTGGTACTCGTCTTTAGGTTAAAGTATTGTATGTTATGCTTTAGGCAGCAGTGGCCACTTATAGGCTGATAATGTGATGTTATTCAATGGCTTTAATTGTCTATTTTCATACGAAATGTACCTATCTACCACTTCAAAGTTTCACTTTAAAGAAAAATTCTGAATTTGTTTTGCTCTAATAACACTGGCACCGCAAATGTAATTCAGCCTGTAGTTAGACACTAGCTTAGATAATTCCACTCAAATTGCATGAATATGACAAACGATCTGTCTGTTAGTCGTAAACTTGTCGGAGCCTTGTTAGGAACCCGGATCTCACGCTGACATATTTAGATTATTTGCAGAGGTTTGTTACATGTATAATACCCGAATAAATGCAACGCAATAAGACATTTTATATGCTAGAACATAACATAACATCACGCCTCTTATCGCCGAAGGGGTAGGCGCAGGTGCACATTACGACACTTAATGCCACTGTATAATGTAACATCCACTTTTCACTATTTATGCTATGTAATAATGCCTATTGCATTTAACCGGGCACATTTTCAGACTTTGCGATGATTTGTTTTTTTTTAAACCGCAGTAATACTTTGCCCAACTCGGGAATTGAACCCGAGACCCCTTGCCCGGCAGTCGCACTTACGACTAGTCGGCCAATGAGGCAGTCAATATTTTAGAACAATAATACTCTTCCCTCTATTATATTGTAATTCAGCTTCGATTGAATATGAATATCTACACAATTGTATTAACCCCTTCCGGGAAATTTATTATGTTAAACATAACTTAAACATGAAAATATAGTGACTGGACATAGATCCAATCACTATATTTTCATTATATATGTAACTTATCTAAGTACCAACTACTTATAAAATATTTAAGATGAGTGATAAAGAACTAACTTGAATCTTTTATGTAGCGACGAATTACTGCGTCCGTCGTGATCGTAAACACGTACTAACTCCACCGCGTGGGAACGAGAAATTACATTTAGGGAAACTATTCTTCCGCCTAATTTCTTATTGTGCATTAAGTACAATTAACGTGAAATATAACAAACAAATACATGACATATTTAATTATTCAATAATACTATTATAGGTTAAATGAAACAATAAAATTGCAATGAACTAAACCAAACAACTGCTGAGAAGGTAAACACTAACTTATTGCGTCGTTCGTATTCTGTGAACTTGTGTGAAACGTATCGAATATTGAAGTACTTATTTACGAGCCGACATCAATTCCATTATAATCGTATGACACATTATAAATATTATAATTTGCATAATACATAATATTTTTTGTTTACTGATTCAATAATTCGTCATTTAAGGTGCGCTGGGCAAACTCGTTAAAATGTCAAAGTAAACTAAAGGTTTAAGTATTTGTTTATGCTTATAACTTATGTTTTTCTAATTTGATAATAGGTACATTAAAATACCGACATGTAGTAAGGTTATTAATTTACAATAATCTTACTAGAAGACAGGACTAGATGCGTCGCTAGCGCCACCTACTAGTCCAAAAAATGTAAAGCTTTATCAAATGGCCCTGTATAATGTCTTCTTCATCTTCTAGATTAAATATGGCCGCGAAATTATATTTATATTTTTATCAAACACTTACTTATGACCTCCTAAGGCCGCGATAAGAAGTTAATCTAAATATTATTATAATACCTGTCCGCAGCTGCACTTGTATATCAGTACATAGATAATGTAATACGGCAACACGTGTGGATTACTAGACAGTAAACATGGATTCTTGTGTCATTAACAATTTTGTAAAGTAAATCAACTGCACTGGTGTGTCAATTAATTAGTTTTGATCCTTATGTTGTAGCACGTAAATAAGGTTCTGATACATTATCTACGCCTGTTATAAGTTATAACGTTAAAAATATATGTCTAGATGTGGTACAACGACTGCTGCTTGGCGTCATGGAATTGGAACTACGAATTTTTAAACAAGTGTCTTTCCAAATTCTTGTTAAATTCTTCTATGCCCCGCTAACAAGATGAGCCAACAGCCAACCTCACGGCCCAAACAAACCCAAGCTAAGTGGTACTCACTAGCAGTTATATTCATTGACACGGCGTTGGTACACAGGTGACATTTATTTGACCTTGAGCTTCGGCAATCGTACAGTAAGGCAAGGGGAACTCGTTCGGTTTGCTAAGCTGCTTGCCTTATGTGAAATGTCGTAAAATACTGTTCTTATTGCACCACAACGACCACAACCGGCTGAGGAAAGTAGGAAAGATATTACCTTATCGCCACCATTTTGGATTTAATGTTGCCAACGAGAAAAAGTAATAAAGTTGTAGTGTAAAGTTTTTGCAAGTTTTAGTGTTAATGCCATTTAAAGAAAGACCAGCTCAGCGGCCAAATTGTCTAGGCCTTACAGTAGTAAGGACAAGTACACTGCCCCAATAAAATATGATCAGTAGTGGGACCACCGAGATAGTATTATAAAATGGTATTCTAATGGCAACATAACCCAATTATTTTTGTCTAATGTCAAAAGTGAAGTGTCTCGTTTTGTATAGAAACAAGAATTGGGACAAAAGAACCTATTTGCGGCGTGTAATTGCCGCCGGAACAATACTTGTATTGTGGCACTGAATGGGAAAATTAAAATTCTTCAAGCACAACCATGTGACGAAGGCCATTCATATGAACTAGAACATGTCAAGGCTTCACACAGACTCTTTGAGATACTTGGTGTTAACTCCTCAAAGTGTGAACATTCTTAGATGGATTTTAAAACTTATTGCAAAATGACAAGGTTGTAAGTCTATTAATAGATTAGGGTAACTTGATGTGCTGTCGTCTCTACTGTGCTTAGTACTTTTTCAAGCTGTAAGTACAGAAAAAGTGGGGAATTCTCCGAAACAACTTAACGTTGATTATAAAGCGATGCAAATTTTGATTGACAGAACCCATTTAGCGGTCACGAACCATGTAAAAATAGCGGTAACATGTTTGCTAATCGTGCTCCATGTATGCATTATGCTTTCACAGAAAATATAAATATTTTATTTAAAGATCTCCAAGCAAGAGAGACGTGACAAAACAATCAAACAGTAAAAATCTATAATTTTTGAAAAATATTCAAACGAGCAGTGACCTCATCGGCGTCCATCTTGAAATCCCGTGTTTAATTGCAAATATAATTAACGCTCACATGAATGCTATTAAGGCAATAAGCGTAGTAGCCCGACCTTGGGGTCCATTTAATATTACTCGTTAATTGCGCAAACAACGCCCAGAGCAAATATCCGAACGCAGAGACTGTCAAACTTGTAGGTGATGACATCTTAACTTGTATTCTGACGAAGGAATTCCTCTATTGTGCCTCTACTTTCAATTTTGAACATTAAAATGACAACATCCTTAAATATAGCGGAACGTGGCGTAAAATATTCAAATCGATGACAGTTATTGATTTTAAATAAAATAAAAAATATGCGTAGCCGCTCAAATAAAAGCTTTTAAACTAGGCAGCGGCCATATAACTTTAAATAGTCACATCAATAAATTATTACGACACACAAAATGTTTGTTAAACACGAACGATAGCATATCTTTCTTAGTTGAGAAATAAGTATATTCTACAATATTTATAGTACAAATACACACATTACTGACCGATAAATGTAAGACGTAGTTATGTACAAGTACCTACTTAATATATTTATTGCAAAACTGATGTAATCTAAGTAGTTCAGGTTTTTGTAGTCACTAGTACAATGACAAATGACTAAGACTAAGATAAGTAGAACTTTAAACGCTTTCAAGGCTAATAAAGTATTGATTAACAAAACACTGGAATGTGAACTTAAAACATTAGCATGCATGGATTAACGAGCATTGAACATCAAAAAATATACCTAATACAAAAATGCCCACAAGGTGGATGAATCAAATATTAAGCCATCAATGAAAATAATAAGTAACAAAATAAACACAATTACGTAATATAAAACTTCTACTATTAGAATTTAAAAAGAAACCCACAAAACAACATCTTGATTGAATTAATAAATAATGTTAGCGAATCTTATCGACGTCAGTTCTCGAAGCCGTTACAAATGAATTTCCACGCTTTGGTAATGAAAGAAACACCTTCAACATCGAATGCTTATCATTTGTATAAATTGAAATAACTTGATAATGTTTACTTTAAGGCAATCGGTTACCAACGGTTACGTGGAACGATTGCTTCGGTGGTTCCACTTATTTATGGCCGACATTCGAACAATATTGTATCATTGTCTCCGCATTACAATATTTATAGACATCACTGTATTTTATACCATCCATTTTTCCTAGCATAGTAAGAAGTCCAAGACAAACAATACTTTGAAATTACAAATAAGTTTTTGTGACCATTTCCATCACTAGCGCCGCTGTACCAGATAACAGTTTTATCTTCTTCACCGTGACTGATAAATATCTTATAAAATAAGGTCTGATGGTTAAGAGAATGGGTCCTACCTTCGTAATGGTTGTCATCGTCGTCGTGTGCGGCGCTGATCTGCCGGAAGAGGTCCTCGTACTCCGCCCAGTAGGCCGCCAGCGCCGTGGGGTCCGGCGCGCGCGCAGGCAACGGCAGCGCCATGCGCACGTCTGGTGACTCCTGCGTAACAGAGGACTAGTTTTAGTACTTGAAACACTCAGTTGGTGAGTGAAATCTGAAGTAGACGGTTATTATAGTAAGCCCGGTTAGACGCTACTTATCTTCACCAAAGTCACCTTAATACAAAGTGGATCTGCTGAAAATGACCGCCTAAATATTAACTTCAATGTAGTCAAGCGATGTAAAGACAAAACGCTTCAGTTCTGCCCCATAAAACATAACAACCTCTTGTTTTTTGGCTCATAGTGCATTATCTACGTACGTTCCGCTGTTAAATCTACTGTATCTAACTGTTTACTTCATTGCAGAGCTACATCAAACGATAAATGTGTCGTGTTGACTCGTGCTGGACGAAAATGACTATCATAACCTCCTCCTTTTTTGAAGTCGGTTAAAAATGATCTCAAAACACACAATGATTAATTTAAAAGTAATGGGAACAAAAATGGAAGGACAAAAGATCCGTCATGTGAAAACAACGTAGCTGTATGAATGGTAAGCAATCAGTTCATACGCTGAGCTATTTTGCGAAACATGTTGGATTGTTGGTCAATCGTCTCGGGGGACAATGATGTTGCAACATCGCTTCGTACGCATCTAAATATTATCGTAATTCGCAATCGAGTAAACTGTTATGAATCTAGCTGTAATAATATACATGTTCGCAGAGAGGTCTGAGATTTTGACGTACCTATTTAAAAATCTCACTAACTTATACGTAATCTGAACGGCTCATTCGGTTGGTTGGTTGAGGGTTAGGAGTGTTGAATTTGACACGAAACACTATTTGCTAGCCTAATTTTTCAGGAAGGTATTACGCATTTATTTGGAAGACAACAATAATGAAGATTGACATAAAATGTCGGTGACGAAAATAATTAAATACCAACTTATCTACTAGAAGATATTCATAAACCCCCGATACAAACATATTCCTAATTGATATTCCGTGAAATGTTCGACGTAATAAATGTCAGACAAATCAAAGTGAACGAGTTATTAGCAGTGGCTACTGCAGTATCAGCGACGGACGATAACATTGCGACTTGTTCCTTTTGTACAGGAAAACGTGAGTGTCGCTAGTCGAAGGCTTGATAATGGCGGCGGCAGGTATTCTATTGTACAATAATCGTTCACCTTCACGCAGAGGAAATTACTTGTGGACTGTCTGTTGACTGTAGACTTATGTGTTACAAATGTAATGAGTGCGTCTTTTGGCATGAAGTAGGCTCAAAGTTTTAAGTTACCAGTTCTGCGGAATATACAAGAAACAGTTACTATTAATTAATCCTTTGTAGTCTATACGTCATACTATTCTTCATAAGGATAGCTTTACAGCTTGTACCTATAGCTCTAAAAGCATTTTTATTGGTGCGAAGTCTACTATTTTTCTGAGAGACAGTAAAAGTAGTTACCTTATTTACAACATAATCTTTAGTAGCAGTAAGTTTTTAACTTAACACCGAGCTCCTCGTATTTCGTACGAGAATAAGTAAAATAAATATCGCTGCTGGCAGTTTGTGGACAAAGCGGCACACTGGCGCTCCTTAAGTAGTTGGGCAAATAATCTTTTGAATATTAAATTTGTCACTTGCCCCTACCTCTTGCAATGATGACTTGACAGGATCAATAAGCGCCAATGTCTCACATTGTTCCACTAATTGCAGTTGACCACCAAATAACTGAAAAGATTATTAAAATACTTCTGAAATTAAGGTTTAAGACTTCATTAATTGTCACTTAACAGTTCATAACACTAGCACCTGCTGCATCTAGACAAATTATTAACTTATTCCAATACAATAAGGTGGTGTTTTGATTTATATTTTGTAACACAGAAATTATTTTTCAAAAACTGTAACAGAACTTACTTTACGTACCTATATCTGAATAAATAGCATTGAGTAGCATGAAACATCATACGAATCTATCAATACAAAGAAGGAAAATTAAATATACCACATACAATGACCTTAAACACAGACAATTTGTCTATTTTCTGGTACATTTAAATCTAAATTAAGTAGAAACCACCGCACAGTTGTCGGAACTATAACCTTAAAACTCGGTTAGTTCCGTTCCCTTATCTCTGCCGAAATAAGTCTGCAGGCAGACTATAATGTACTCTATTATATACCCTCAAAGTTTGTTATCAAGTGACGTCTGCCATTAGCAAATATATGTACGATAAAGCAAGGTCGCCCTATGTATGTACTCATTGGTATTTGAATATTTGTCAACTGATTACCCATGCGCAATAAAAGTCATCGTTTTTAATTTGTTCTGTTTGTTTAATTTTTTTATCTAACTATAAGTAGAAGATTCCAATCAAAAATTCCTTGCTAAGTATGTACATAATTAATAAGGAACTTTATTCAAATTGTTTAAATAGCCCTTTTATAGAGACTATACTAAAAGTACCCTTAAACTATTTCTTAAACATGTTTTGCTCGCAGGGCAGCAGTAGGATCGGGGTGGTTTTTAGTCAGTAAGAGTCTGACACTCCCTCCCGCCTCACCCAGGCGGGAGCAGTCATTCGATGATTTCCCTCCTTAAAAAAACATGTTTTAACTTTTGTTTCTATTCATTCATTTATGTATCGTTTTCATAAATAACATTGTATTATGATACTCTGATATTATCTAACATCTGTACACATAATGGCCGTTATACCTATAGTAATTTGTTACATAATTGTCGTTAATCACGAATTAGTCACCTCCTTGTAATGTCCGCCATTCACTGAGCTGACTGAACGAATTTGTTATTCTCGGTCAAACTTAATAGTTAATATCGTGTTTAATGGTTCTCACTAACTGTTTTTTATAATTAAAAAAAACTTCGTCACCATTATGAGAGGCCGGTTTTCCTCAAAAGGCAATAACATGAATACATTAAGTTTACGTCAGCTGACTTTTTACCGCAAGATAGTAACATACAGACCAAGTTTGGCAAAATAAAAAACAATAGAATATTCACAATTACCAATCCCTGCTCAAACTTATTAGCAACCGAGGACTGCCACAACCAAAAACGACGACCACGCCACCTGTCCCAGCCTTACCCAATTAATTCGAACTCAATTAATATTTTTTCCTCTCCACAACAATTAAGGCGTTACATAATTGAGACCGTAATTTGGTTTATTTCTCAACCAATTAAGGCTCCCAAATTAGTTGAGTGTCGGTATTATTGTATTAAGTGGTCCTTACGCAAGTACAGAGGCACACGATGGAATATACAAGTTTACAAGTACTACGCCCTGTTCTCGATGATTTACGATGTAAGACCACCTGTGTGGGAACAGGTGGAATGTAGGATAGAATAGGAGTCCATTTGTCTATTTCCTTTTGTTCCTTTATGGGAGAAACACAGATGCGCTCTTCGAATGTGACATGCACTTTTCTTCAGTTATGATATCAGTCTCATCTCATGAAATACATCCAAGCCTACTGTGATATATGGGGTATAATTTCTTGCACACAGATCTGTGATAGAGGTGCTAAAAATATCAGTTTTTTTAATGCTATCCATCTTATCTCTAAGCCCATTCTAGACTTGTAAACAGATTTCTATTAAAACTAAGTTTGCCCCATGTTCTAGCAAAATTCATTAAAATCAGCTCACGTTATCTCAACAGAGAGCTGCTTACGACGGTTGATGTCTCTCATTATGAATGTTTCCTCCACAACACAACCCACATACCCAGCAACAAAGACAGAAACATTGGCATCCTGCGTCGTTTCCGGAGCACCCACCGCCGCCATTTAAATGTATTATTGCCACAGGGTCGGATTTAGATCACTGCTGTAAATATTTTTCGGACTAATTACCTATGTGTTTACATTATTTTTATTTTGTAAACAACAGTGTACTCATGTATGGTAAGTATAAGGAAAATAATGTCTGATGTTTATGTCTAGTTTTAAAACAATACAATTAATTAATTAATTGATATATGACAGGAAAATATTGGACTTAATAGTAAAATAGCATATAATTTATTTGTATTTTATTACATAAAAATATAGCTATAGTCATTTTTTTAAGGGGGGAAAATCATCGAATGTCTGCTCCCGTCTAGGTGAGGCGGGAGGGAGTGTTAGACTGACTAAAAACCACCCCGTTCCTTCTCCTGCACGTCGTGCCGGAGCCCCGGTAACCCGTTAGGTTCTCCGCGATAGCTATAGTAATATTAACATTTACAGCTTCTTATACTTCAAGTGTAATGGTGACAATTATATTTTTTAACAAAATCTACAACAACAATCAGTAGTTGAAAAAGAAACGGGTCGAGGACAAACAATCAAACGCATCCGCCGCTAAAGACACTGTATGTCTCCATTAAAACAATATTAATGAAAAGGTAGGGGGCATAAAGGAAATCCTCTCATCCCGTTTCCTACAAATAACAAAATAACAAGTTACCGTTGTTTTAACAAGGGCATAGGAAACGATGATGATCTCCACATCATGTCAGACAAAATCTAGTGACCGGACATACTGGGCAGAGATTCATTCATTGATGCTAACATTTGTCTGATTTATTCGACAATAAAAAGAATGATACTGCTGATGAAATTGTTGATAAGCTGTCTTATGTTTCAAATTAATTTATACTAATTAATTTAATGAAGTTAAAGATAGTTTTGTTTGTTTATGTGCTTGTATTTAGGGTAACCTCTGAAAGTTTTAGAGATATTTGAATCTTTGATATATTGATATATTGACATCACCCTAAATATCTACATTCAGAAAATTCAGAAGCACATAAAGTCTACACTTTATTGTTATGAATTAAAGTAATAAATAACGACATTATAAAATAACGGAGATCATCCGGATTAATTGGTACACATAATATTTAACTGCGGACGCCATTAAACGATACATTTAAATAACATTTATTCTCACATAAACATCTAACTAAGACAAAGACAGGCATCTTAAGTATGCGGTTCGGTTTCCGGAGTATGCAAAAATATACAAACTGAGTATAAGTCACTCTGACAGCTGTCAGATGAATGAATATAAAATGTAAAACAATTTGCATGTCATTAATATGCACGGTTAATGGGCCATACACGTGATTAAATAAACATTAATTAAGACACAAAATGTCGTTTAAATGAATGAATGTGATTGCAGCTTTCGAATTTGAGGTCTCGAGTTCGTTTCTTCGATGAAGTCGGCGTAGTTTTTCAGTATAACTGCTCATGAAACCTGGCGTTAGTCCCGGTGCTTAACATGAATGTAGGTCTACTATAAACACCAATATTTGCCCACTACAACAATAATATTGATACTGTAGATGAATGAGTAATACCGACTCTAGTTTCAATAACAAATTAATTGATTATAATCTGTCGGTACTACGCTATACGCCATTGTTTAAGCTGACCATAAACTTGATTCTCTCACGAAGGTGTACATTGACCATGAATATTGCTCACAAATTACTGATTCTAAAATGGTGATCCATCACACGCTCACAGAGCTATCATAATGATGTGTCCAATTACGGCCCTGTGCGTGTTAGAGCATTATTAAAATTTGACTTTGGAATACCCAAATGATCCAAAGCTCTAATCTTTGGACAGGTACCTACTTGTATATACTTTAATGCTGTTTTCCTGGTTTGGCAAATCAAATTAAAAATAATCTTATTCTGATTATGGAATGTGACGACCAGAATTCTATGAAAGACCTTCGATATTTGCATTATTATTAGCATTTCCGAGTATTCTATGCGTAAAAGTCGTGCTATTTACCAATAGAGTCGGCAGAGGTGTACATTTACAAGTAGTTACACTGAAGTTTTCGCCAGTTAAATGGCCCATTTTAATTGCCCAAAGCGTTATCAATGTTTTAAGACCCACTAACTAACTTCGAGAGTTCAGTTGTAGGACTTATAGGCGAGGCAAAAATTATTTAAATTTGTCTCGACTGTACTCCACGTATACGTAGTAGTACACTCCACATTATTACAACTAATAATAAATTGAATAGATTTACCGAATAATCTTAATGCTATGAGGATAAAAATAGAGAATATGAATGGCTGCGTATTTGACGACAGATTTAAAAATATCGTATTCGTGAGAGTAGTCACGAGGTCTGCCCAGTGTGCAGTGTGAAGTCATCGACATCGATGATGACTGTCTTGCGTCAGTACCTTTATGTATTATCTAGTATCCAGTTGGTAAATCTTTAAGATACAGATAATGTACATATTCATATTCATTCTTATTCATGAGTAAGAAGGATAATACAGAAAGAATCGAAGAAGGTGGTACTTTGTAAAAACTATAATACCTACCCCTAGGATCCAAAGGCGTGTTAAATTAATTAACTCAGTTTCAAGGAAGAATGAATAAATCGTATATTGATTGAAGGCATAATAATTACAAATCAAGTCTTATTTATATCTTATTTTGTTCAGAGTTTTTTGGGAGAGATTCACTCATGTTCTTTGACATTTCAGGTTTTTAAGATGAGCTATGTTCTTATGGATAAACCTAGTAAACAATCAGACGTTCTGACAAGCAACGACCAACAATAATAAATAGAAAAAGTCCACCTCAAACAAATGTTCGCTTTCTACTCTGCAACGGTTTCTGCGAATCTTTTCTTTTAGTTATATTTACTCTTCAACAGTTTGCTCATCAATACAAAGAATTATAGGTACGTAACATCGAACACACAAGTTTCTACGAAAGTTCTACATATATTTTAGACCCACAAATAACATTTTTGATTGCTAAATTATGTATGATAATTTTAGTGTAAGAAAGAATTAAGATTTGAAATAGAATCTCAATTAAATAGTCAAGTCTTATGTCATTTATTAATTCATACAAATGATATAATACGCTAACAAGTCCGGTGTCACGTCACTGCCACTAATCCTTGTCCAAAGACTACAAGTATCTTGATATCACGTTTATTTCTAGACAGTTCACAGACTATACAATCCAGTTTGACATTTCAATTTGCTTATAAATGACG